CTGTAATCAGCCAATGTCCTCCGGTGAGATCCATAAACATTCTCGAGGTATGTCGAGAAATGGCCAAGAATAACGTCTATGAGAATCCAAGAGTCCTGAAATGATGACACAAAGTTTATTCAGCTGGTTCATCTGGTTATCAGTTGGAAATTCCTCAGGGAGGGGGTGGTGAGCGTCAGATCACATGTTCTCCAGGTGAATTCAGATAAGATGGCCTTCAAGGACAGCCAAGGGAGCCAACTTAGATAAACACACAGTTGTTTTGGGGACAGGCAGAACTTAATGACATCAACCTTCAGTCTGTGTTGGTCCACTCGTCCAAAATAACATGGCCACACCGATGGAACGTGACTGAGTAAAATCCCCACGATCTGATCCATTCAGCCCAAAGCATTTGAGTCCAGGTACTCGAGACACGAACCAAGCCATCATAAAGGCAAGCAGCGTGATCGGGTCCAAATTTGCTGCCGACGACTTCCTTGATTGTAGATAAAACCAGCACCAGCCGAATCCAAAAAGCAGGAACCAGTTATCGTAAATCCAATTTAATATGCGTCCTTAAAATCCACAGATGGCAGCAGAGATAGACACATCATCAAGTCTTCCAGTCGATGAGATATCCAGCTGCGTGCGTGCCAACAGGGTAAATCAGCTCGCCTAAAGCCAGTCTTCTCTTCGAAGAAATGTTGTAAATTGAGTTGAGGGACCAACTGATCAAAACAAGTCCATAATTATGGTTCAGAAGATGCAAGAGAGGCTCACAAGCAGTTTCACAGACAGACAGAGCAGCAAAGCAAAGCGGAGAGGGAGAGAGAAGTGTCCGATCTCGGCAAGAGCAAGTGGTGAAGAGAATCAGCACCTCCAAATCAGAGTCCATGGTCCTCAGTCAGAGGTGGATTGTTCTCTTCAGGTCCAGGGTGAGGTTCTGCCTCAAGTGGAGGAGTTCAAGTATCGCTGGGTTTTGTCCATGAGTGAGAGAAGAATGGAGCGAGAGATTGACAGATGGATTGGTGCAGCATCTGCAGTATTGCGGACTCTGTACCGGTCCGTTGTGGTGAAGAGGGAGCTGAGCTGTAAGACAGAGCTCTCTGTTTACTGGTCGGTCTACGTTCCTCCCCTCACCTCTGGTCATGAACTCTGGTAGAGACTGAAAGAATGAGATCGTGGATCCAGGAGGTTGAAGTGAGTTTCCTCTGCAGCTGGACTCTCCCTTAGAGACAGGCTGAGAAGTTCAGTTATCAGGAGAGACTCGGAGGAGAAACGCTGCTCCTCCACACTGAGAGGAGCCATTTGAGGTGGTTCAGGCATTTGGTAAGGATGCCTCCTGGGCGCCTCCCTAGGGAGGTACTTTGGTCATTTCTGAATGGGAGGAGACCCCAGGGAAGACCCAGGACACACTGGAGAGACTACGTCTCTCAGTTGTCCTGGGAACCCCTTGGAGTCCTCCCAGAAGAACTGGAAGAGGCTGTGGAAGGAGATGCTTGGACCTCCCTGCTCAAGATGCTGTCCCGAGACCTGAGTCCAGAAGAAGAGGAAGATGATGAATGGATGGATGGATGGATGGATGAATGGATGGATGGATGGATGGATGGATGGATGAATTGATGGATGGATGGATGGATGGATG